CAAAGTGGAACATGCTGATTACTGTAGGTTTATTTATGTATTTATTTGGTGAGAAAGTAGGATTTATTGAAAAGACAGAAAAGGTCTCTCAATAGGAAGGAACCTGAGGGGCTTGCCCTATTTTCAAATACATTCTTGTCACAGTGTCACAACACTTTGAGGCAGGTGCTATATTATACCCATTTTAGAGATGAAGAACTGAGGGTTGGTGACATAAAAGACATAATTTGTTTTTGATCTGTGAGTCATTATGATTATTCTCAGCATATTGGTGCTGTTCCTCAGAAACATAAGGACCACATACATAATTTTAAGTTTTCTTTTTTTTTTTTGAGTTGGCGTCTCATTCCCAGGCTAGAGGGCAGTGGCGTGCTCCTAGCCACTGCAGCCTCGGCCTGCTGGGCTCAGATGATCCTTCCACCTCAGCCTTCCAAGTAGCTGGAACTATAGGCACATGCCACCATGCCCAGCTAATTTTTTGATTTGTTGTAGAGATGAAGTCTCACCAAGTTGCCCAGGTTGGTCTCGAACACTTGGACTCAGGCAATTGTCTCACCTCGGCCTCCCAAAGTGCTGGGATTATAGGCATGAGCCACTACGCCCGGTCAATTTTAAGTTTTTAATAGCCACATTACACAAAGTAGAATAAAATTAGCGAAATCCATTTTAATATCTTTAACTCAGTATAATAAAAAAATTGTTTCAACAAATAATCTAATGTAAAAATATTGAATTAATTTTTTTGTACTAAGTCTTTGAATGTGGTATGCATTTTACACTGAAAAAACATCCCGTGGACTAGTCACGTTTCAAGTACTTAATAGCCACATATGGCTAGTGGCTACCATTTTGAACAGTTTAACTTTTATACTGTGAAGAAACACAAGTATATACTTGTTTTGGAGCAGAATCTAGATGTTTCCAAGGAAATATTTTTTTCTGATTTGGTCCTGAAACTCAGAGAGCATTCCTAAAACTTGATGTTTTATTGGTTAAATCTACCCACTTCACCACACACCAGGTCTCTAACTAGAGGATTTTAACAGAATTTAGCCAGCCGAAGCCACCATAGCCCCTCTCCCTATCCACCCAGAGGTAGTCTGATTTCTGAAACAAAGCTACCTTTGAGGAGGAAACTATATCTGATAATTCCTTTTTGGGTAATCTTATTGATCAGAAGATATTAAGAAAGTGGATTTGGGATAAAATTGTCTGGCAATGATATTTACTAGTAGTATATATTTGATTAATTTACTGAATCTCTTAGGCTGAACTTCTGTCTCTGTAAAATGGAGACAGTGAGAGAACTTGCCTTGCAGTTTGTAAGAATTATGCATAATCAGATCAATTACTTCATGTGGTACTTTACCTGTGAATCACTATCATCATAGGTATTATTAGCCTGACTCCTTTAATATATCCATTGTTTTACTGTTTATTGCTTCTATGTAGGCTACTCTAAAAAACAATGAATATTCAATACTGAATAGAACTACAACATCTCACAAAGTTATGGTTGTCCCAGGGAAATCATTTTAGCACTGAAAGTATTCCAGTTGCTTAAATTTGACTTTTTATTCTCACCGTTGAATTTTCTCCTGCTGGTATCTCTCCTGAGAATGTCATCTAAAATGACATCCAAATGAGTGATTATCTCAGATGCCTGGGAGTCATCTCAACCAGTGATTCTCAACTCCTGGGTCACTCCTGCAGTGATGTATTTCAATTGTTTCCAAGGAAATACTTTTTGACTTGGTTCTGACACCCAGAAAGCATCTCTAAGACTTGGTGTTTTATTGGTTCATCCTACCCACTGGTAGGATGCGGGGGACAGCCATGTGTACTTTGGAAAAACATAGTTAGTGCTGAGGCAGATTAATTCTGAAGCTAATAAAACTTGTGTCAGATCCTACGCTTCCAAAGTACTAGAATGGGCCCTCAAATGTTCTCACTTGGTCCCTTTTAAAATTTTTATTATTATTTATTTATTTATTTATTTTGAGTTAGAGTCTTACTCTGTCACCCAGACTGGAGTGCAGTGGCTGCTCCAGGCCACTGCAGCCTCGTCCTGCTGGGGTCCGATGATCCTTCCACTTCAGCCTTCCAAGTAGCTGGAACTTACAGGCGTGTGCTACCACACCTGGCCAATTTATTTTTCTTTTTTTGATTTATTGTAGAGATGAGATCTCGCCAAGTTGCCCAGGCAGGTCTCAAACCCACGGGCTCAGGCAATCCACTCACCTCAGGCTCCCAAAGCGTGGGATTACAGGCTGAGCCACTGAGCCTGGCTCACGTTGTCTCTTTTTAAAAAAAATGCAGTGTTAAAATATTTTAATCACAGAGTTAAGATCATTGTTTTGTTTCCACTCAATCTTCCCTTCAATTACAATTCACCATTGTCTGATTTTGTTTGAATGCTGATAAAAAAAAATAAACCAAAACCTTTGGGATTTGGGTAAGAGAAAATTTAGTTGACTTTGTATCTAGTATGGGACTAATAAACTATATGTCATTTGCATATGTGCTTGTATATAGTTCATTTTTTGCCAGCCAATCTGATGTAAGAATGGTTTCAAGGAATCACTAATCACTGGGACTATTAACCTGAATTCCTGGGAGGATGCAGGGATAGATAACATATCATGACAAACAACTATTCATAACACTCACCTAGCACTGAGAGCAAGTACAGAGAAGATAGTAGAGATGTATAGAGCCAGGAGCTAGTCCGAAAAGAATTCTTACAAATGTTACAACTCACATATAGAACGTTTGAGAGGAATTCCAAATTTGGAAACAACCCTAAAAACTTACTTGACATTACCAATTATGTGTTTTAAAGCGACAATTCTTCTAAGGTAGCAAGAAAGCAAAACAGATTATGATCAGCCACTTTAGAAGACTGAATTTTTTCCATTGTCTACAGAAAATATTACAAAATAATTTTCATCTGAAGATGGAATCAGAGCATTCAGTCAAAAATAAAGGAAAATATACAATACGTTGTATTTGAGTTATTGAAGTCTATGTTCTGAATTTTGTGATGGCTATAGTTTTGTCTGGTTTTATCCTGTAATTTATTGATTTTATTTTCCTGGTATAAAGTAATATGGTCTACTTAGTTTGATATCTGTAACTTTGTATTTTTTTTAAAGTCAAAGTTGTAAATGGATTAGGCACCATAAACCCTTCATCTACCCCATCAGTTATCTTACATATTTGGAAAACTTAAGAAATTAGCATTTAGTTTTTTTTTTTGCTTATTAAAAGGCCTGGGTAAAAGAGCTTTTCAGTTGCTACCCTTCATTATCTTAAGCCTTCTGAGCTTAAAATGACTAGGCAATTTTTTTTCATAAATCTATTTAGTGGACCTCTGGCAGAGAATAGTGAGACCAGTTTCTTCCACCGCCAAGTACTCTTCAGATAGACCAACACCACATTCTTGTTTTGTGCAATGTTCTACATCTTATGCAATGCTGCCTTTAGATCTACTAAATGAATTAAAAGCAGGAATGATTGGCAGTGGTCTTTTTAAAAATACGGTGCTCCACTCAAAAGGCAGTTTGAGCAAAATCAACAGGAAGAAAAGGGAGCCAACATTTGTCTAAAGGTATTCATTTGTCTACCTGTGTTCATGCTTAAAGGTCCAAATGAAGTCCACGTAATTATAACTTTTGAGAACGTACTAAATAAAAAGTAAACCTCAAAAAAACCTTTGAAACTTACCCATTACGGGTCTTACAATGTAAGTGGCAACTGCTTTTTAGGTGAAACCGTGGGTGGCTCTTAAAAGAGCCTTTTTAACTTGAAGTTAATTGCTTGATTTACGCTCTCTCGCCACGAATACGGCGAGCAAGCTGGATGTCCTTGGGCATGATGGTAACGCGCTTGGCGTGGATAGCGCACAAATTGGTGTCCTCGAAGAGCCCCACCAGGTAGGCCTCGCAGGCCTCCTGCAGCGCCATCACGGCCGAGCTCTGGAAGCGCAGGTCGGTCTTGAAGTCCTGCGCGATCTCGCGCACCAGGCGCTGGAACGGCAGTTTGCGGATCAGCAGCTCGGTGGACTTCTGGTAGCGGCGGATCTCGCGCAGGGCCACGGTGCCGGGCCGGTAGCGGTGGGGCTTCTTCACGCCGCCGGTGGCCGGGGCGCTCTTACGAGCCGCCTTGGTGGCCAGCTGCTTGCGCGGCGCCTTCCCGCCGGTGGACTTGCGAGCTGTCTGCTTGGTACGAGCCATCTGGAGTGAGCGAAGACACAAAGGTCTGTAGTAAGCTGAACCCAAGTTGCCTTTAAATATAGTTAGAAGCATTCTGATTGGCCTTGTAATATTTTAAAAATCCCGCGCGATAATATAATTGGCTGAAGAGTGAATCCAATGATTGGCTCATTATTAGTGAATTTCATTGGATGAATTGCGACGCTACCATTCTTTATCTGAAACTCAAGTAAATTGTGTGCTAATTCACCCCATCACCAAAAAGTGTGGCTTACAAAACATTTAAGGTCATGTTAATAAGTAATTTCTGATTCCACAAGTCGAAATGAAACCCAAAATCCTGCATTAACACGTCCAGATTACGAATGCTGGTGGATGCCCCCTGAATCACAACAAATGTTCTTTGTTTTAGGCTGGAAAATATTTTAGGTTCACAATTTGAAAAGTACGTACTTTTATTATCGGCCAACGGCAAGCTTCCTTGCCCTCATTTATTGCGAGTTCAAGTGATATTCCCACCCTATCTTTATTGTAAAAACGTCCTATTTTGAGTTCCGATATGTTTTAATTGGCATGTCCTAAAATTGTTTCCCATGGACTGCCTATTTTCTCGAAAACTGTTCCTACATTACTTTTACGTGTACTCAATGTTGTTGCCAAAATAACTTTTTTGTTTGTTTAAACAACGAGGTTGGTTATCAGCTTTCCTTGTGAGAACGTGGTGGCTCTGAAAAGAGCCGTTAGCAGAGAACAAGTGGGAGTTGCGTTTTCTGGCTTGAGTGGGCTTTACTTGCTCTTGGCTTTATGGTGGCTCTCGGTTTTCTTGGGCAACAGCACGGCCTGAATATTAGGCAGGACACCGCCCTGAGCGATGGTCACACGGCCCAGAAGCTTGTTTAGCTCCTCGTCGTTGCGGATGGCCAGCTGCAGGTGGCGCGGGATGATACGCGTTTTCTTGTTGTCTCGGGCTGCGTTGCCCGCTAGCTCCAGGATTTCGGCGGTCAGATACTCTAGTACCGCCGCCAGGTACACCGGCGCACCCGCCCCGACCCGCTCGGAATAATTACCCTTGCGAAGAAGACGGTGAACTCTACCCACTGGAAACTGTAAGCCTGCTCGAGATGACCGAGTTTTAGCCTTGGCTCGAGTCTTTCCTCCCTGTTTCCCTCGCCCAGACATTACGATCTCCTACTAGAGAACTGTGTAGAAAAACAAAAGACGCATTGTGGCCTGAAAATCCTTTTATAAACAGCGCAGGGATGAGACAGGAATCTATCCTATTGGTCAATTACGTTTGCTTTCTGGTCCAATAGGAAAAGTCAACGTAAAGTGTTTATTTGCATAAGCACCTCCCCTAAGCGAGAGTGTATTTCTTTTATCCAATCAGAAGTGGTAATTCTTGAAGCCTCATTTGAATTTCAGGAGTATAAATATATGGGTTTTGAACTTTCCTTCTCACTTCTCTTGTGGAGACCGACTGTCGCCGCTACGCTTTTTAGGAAAAGCTATGCCTGAGCCCTCTAAATCTGCTCCTGCCCCGAAGAAGGGCTCCAAGAAAGCCATCACTAAGGCGCAGAAGAAGGACGGCAAGAAGCGTAAGCGCAGCCGCAAGGAGAGCTATTCCATCTACGTGTACAAGGTGTTGAAGCAGGTTCATCCCGACACCGGTATTTCGTCTAAGGCCATGGGAATCATGAACTCCTTCGTCAATGACATCTTCGAGCGCATCGCGGGCGAGGCGTCGCGCCTGGCGCATTACAACAAGCGCTCGACCATCACCTCCAGGGAGATCCAGACTGCCGTGCGCCTGCTGCTGCCCGGGGAGCTTGCCAAACATGCCGTGTCCGAGGGCACCAAGGCCGTCACCAAGTACACCAGCTCTAAATAAGTGCTTCTTTAGGCACTTTGAAATCCAAAGGCTCTTTTCAGAGCCACCCATTGCGTCAAGAGAGAGCTATAACCGCCACTTGTTCAATCCTTTGGCTACCGTGGGGGCGCTGATGGGTTTAGACCCGAGGTTAGGTCGGTCTATGGCGTTATGTCACAGGCACTTAGCGTTTACATAGTTAATCTATGTTCTCGTTTCCCTGGTCAAGCTTTGGGTAGTCATTTAATTACTTTGGTATGCTTATTACTCCCCTTCTTAAGTCAGCACGTTTTAGGAGGAAGTTTTAATTTCCCTCCTTGCTAATGAGGCAGTGAAGGAAATTCAGACAGTATGGGGCTTCTACTGACGGCCATTAGCTATGGCTGGGATGGGGGACGGGGAAGAGAGAGGTCGCTACAGTGGGAGGGCCTCTAGGAATGTTTGCTCCTGGATTATCAACTGACCCTTTGACTGGCCTCGAGTACTGAGGAAATAGGTGAAGTCTAGTTCCTCTGGTCGCCTCTATGGTGTATATCTCCAGCATTGCCAGCACTGAACAATGAAATGAGGTTCCTCCAATTTCGCTTTATGATTGTTTACCAATGACAACAGCTATGTAGCCGTTTTAATTTTTCTTGCATCCCAGAAATCCAGACTCATTTTCTTGGCCATTTACCATTCAGGCTTACCGCTAGAATGGGGCGTGGATAGGAGGGACAAAGAGTTCGAATTTCGCGCCCTTCCTTGTCTGGCACCACCCAGTAGCTGGTTGGGCGGGTCCCAGTTAGAGAGATATACCTACTGGAGAGAGACTGCGGTTGACTGCCTATGAAAACGGCGAGGGAGGGGGAAGTATTTTCCTTTGGTTTATTCGGATTTTATGTAGGTGACATCTGCAGGGTCTTTGGATGAAGAAATGCTGTGTAGTTTCTCAAACCGGACCCCTTTTTAAAAAAGATTAAGAAATTAAATTATCTTTTGGATCCCACACAAAATAGCAGTTAGACCACTATGAAAAGCACTGTCTGTCTCAAAATTGCATATACAAACTGTCGTGAAAGAGACGCTTAGCTTAAAAGAATAGTTCTTTTTGTAGATTATAAAACGACTACCTCCTCCAAAAAAAAATTATTAAGAAATTCAGGCTGAAGTTTAAGAAACTGACCTTTAGGATCTTCCCATGGAGGAGGGAGACCTGGTAGTAATAGCATTTTCTTGTAAAGTAGGGATTATTTTCTCATATTGTCTTTCATTCATACATATATATTGAATATATATATGAATATATATATTGTCTTCCAGCCCCCTTTTTCCTTTTTTCTTTCAAATAAATCACGCATACTTGTTTTATTTAAAACTATACACTTAATTGACAAGCTCAAATCAAAACCTAGGCCTCCTAAACTCAAATCTAGGACTTTTTGCTATTCATATTAATATTGGTTGACTCTTAATAAGTGAATAGAGAATTTTTAAAAAATCAGATTACTGGACTCCATGGAAAATGATGTTCATAAATCTATCCACTTGATTCTAACGGCTCCAACTTTACACACCAGAGGACCAGAGAGCAAGTCCACCAATTTGAATGAAACTGAAGAGTTTATACACCCCTACTCTACTCTAATAAACTACATTGCCTCCAAAACTGCAGTATCTCCCTTACAAGGGAACTAAGAGAAAAATAATCTATGCTACAGCCCCAGGTCTCTCTTTGGTCATGGAAAGATTTGTCTTCCTCTCTGTCAACAAAGAAGCCCTGAAAACAGAAACAGCTGAATCTGTAGAGGCTGGAAAAATAAAAGCTTGGGTGAGTTCTGGGCAAAAGATATTAAACGGAGGGCCAGGCTTGGTGACTCAGCCTGTAATCTCTTTGGGAGACTAAGGTGAGTGGATTGTCTGAGCCCGAGGGCTCGAGACCAGCCCGGGCAATTTGGCGAGTCCTTGTCTCTATAATAAATCAAAAAAATTAGCCGAGTATGGTAGCGCACGCCTGTAGTTCCGGTTAATTGGAAGGCTGAGGTAGAAGGATCGCTGGAGCCCAGCAGGTCAACATTGGGGTGGCCATGAGTATGCCATAGCACTCCAACCTGGGTTCAGAGTGAGACTCCAACAAAAAGAAAGAAAAAAAGAGAGAGAGGGGGAGAGGGAGGAAGGGAGGGAGGGAGGGAAGGAAGAAGGAAAGGAAGGAAGGAAGAAATTAAACGGAGGAGTCTTGGGAGAATTTTAATTTTAAGGGAGATTGACAGACAGATGGAAGACTGTCAGAGACTGTTCATGATTTGAGAAGGAAAAAAAAAAAAGCTATGAAGAAAGGAATGCCCTGGCCCTGCTTCTTGGCATGTAGGAAGATAAAGAATTCTTAACTCTGTCTTCAGCACCTTTCAGCAACATTTGAGATGTATATATATATGTGTGTGTGTGTGTGTGTGTGTGTGTGTGTATACATTTTTTTTACTTTTCATATCCAGTAAAGTGTATACACACATATATTTAAATTATTTTAAAAATTTAACAAGAATAATACCTGCTCATTTTTTAAAAACAATAATAACTACTAAAATAATTTCAAATAAATATTTTGATGGGGATCAGTGCATGCTACCCCAAAATATGGCAACTTGACATTTGAGAAAACATCAGAAGCTGGATGGTCATTCTTACCTTCCCCTTGCCTGTCTCCCCTGAAGTAGGCCATAGAAAACTAAAAAAATAACTCTGATCTCCTGAAGCAGGTCATGAGATCCCCATCTAAGAGCTGCCCTCCCTATACTTAGAGGAAAGGAATAGTCTCGGAAGACACAGGGACACAGAGAAGAATATGAACAAGCAGGCCTTGCTACATTCCCCCCAGTTTCCATTAGATCATACCCTTTTTGCCAATCATAGGAATCCACAGCTATCCACTGTCACGTAAAGCATATATTAAATACGCATTTAAATATATTAACTAAGTATATTAGTGTGACTTTTATTATAGGTGCCTTAGCTATGAATCTAGTTATGGGTGAGGATTTAAAAAAATTCTTGTCTCCTACTGTGGCAAATCGTCAAATATATACTTCTTGTATGATTGAGTGAATGAACGCAGAAACACATGAGTAACTGCTTTAGGGTCAGCAGTTGGCCCCATGGCAATCACCTGGGATGACAAATTGTCTCCCATTAACCCTGTGGCCGAAAGGGGGGTTGGTAGCAGTTATAAAGGTATTTCCTTTTGAAAGGCAAGCGGCAAGCTTTGAAGACCACCAGGCCGGTTTTGTTTGAAAAAGCCAAATGGCCAAAGACTGATGGCTCTCATGGAAATGCAAAAGAGTAACTAGTTCACAGACTTATCCAAAATCCCTCTTTTGAAGTTGAGGGTTTACAACCCTGCATTTCCTCGAGACCATTTGTTCTTTAAAAAAATCTGATTTTTCTGAACACCACCTTATAAATTCCAAAGAGAATGTGTAATCGCTCAACACGACCCCCTCCCTTTCCTAAATGAAGTTATAAAACCCGGCTTCTCCCACTCTGCAGGGCTCGACCTGGATGCATTAGCCCTTCCAGTCTGCAGAGACCTCCGGCGTAATAAAGTGCCACTTCCTATAATAGTCTCGGTGTCATGATCTCTCTGTCTTCCCGCTACACTACAATATAAACATCAATTGTATTCCATCATTCAAGACATTTTGGTGTCTTGAAGAAATTTTACCTTGTGTAAGTCTATATACACAGATATATAAATTTATAGAAGTGAGATCATACTTCTGCCTTTCTATAATGCTTTTAAATTAATAGAGATGCTCATTAGCAAGTTCATGACTGCATTGCATGGTAGTAAAGTAGGCAATTGCCCTTTATTGATTTACTTTCCTTTTTTAAAAAGATGAGTGGATTGCCTGAGTGGTTCGAGACCCGCCTGGGCAGGCCAGACCTCATCTCTACAATAAATCAAAAAATTAGCCGGGTGTGGTAGCGCGCGCCTGTAATTCCGGCTACTCGGAAGGCTGAGGCAAAAGGATCGCCGGAGCCCAGCAGGTCGAGGCTGAGGTGGCCGGGAGCGGCCACTGCACTCCAGTCTGGGCGACAGAGTGAGACTCCAACTCAAAAAAAAAAAAAATTATAAATCATGTTACCATAAAAATCCTTTTTTAAATTTTAGAGTCAGAATCACACTCTGTTGGAGTGCAGTGGCATGCTCGTGACCACAGTAGCCTTGACCTGCTGCACTCAGGTGATCCTTCTGACTCAGTCTTCCTAGTAGCTGGAACCACAGGCATGTACCATCTTGCCCAGCTAATTTTTTTGATTTATTGTAGAGAAGAGGTCTCACCATGTTGCTCAGGCTGGTCTTGAACTCCTGAACTCAGGCAACCGTCTCTCCTCTGCCTCCCAAAGTGCTAGAATTACAGTTGTTATTTACAGCTCAGGGCTAAAACTCCTTTTTGACATTTTTTTAATACATAGCCCCAGGCTGTCTTACTGGAAGCCTCTTTACACTCTCACCAAAGTGTGTTATTTTGCTGACTCCACAAATGCTCTTGAATGGTATTGTCAGTCTTTTAAATCTTCAAATTGGAGACATGAACAATTAAATCTCATTATTTTTATTTAAAAAGAAATATTGCTCAAAGCTGTACATTTTGCTAACATTTCTTGTGTTATGATTCGGTTACTCATGCTCCTTGCCCATTTTTCTGTTGAAACTTGCTCTATTTACATTATTGTAAGCAGACAGTTCCATGTATTCATAGGTTATTATGTTTGAGGGCTTACTATATGTCACAGTTATATTTCTAAGTTCTTTTCAAGTATAAATTCATTCAATCTTTACAAAAACTCAGTAAGTCATAAGTACTGTTTTTATTATTCTGTTTTATAGATTAAAACAAGTGCTATAGCCACTTGTTGAGTTCTATCAATTTTTGAGAGAGGAGTGTTGAATTCTGCTTTATAATTGTGGATATGTCTATTTCTCCTTTCAGTTCTTACAGTTTTTGCTGCTTGATTTCATAGTTCTGTTGTTTGGTACATATACATTTAGAAGTGCTTGATTTTCTTGTTGGATTGACTCATTT